ATATTAATGATATTGTTTGATAATTTCCACACTCTGTTGGGTCACCTTTCTTTGGAATGGGAACAAATATTGATCTTTTCCAGTCAGTTTGCCAGGTGGCTGTTCTTCAGATTTCTTGGCACAACTTAGTGAGCACATCTCAGGAACAGGTTTGAGGCCTTGAGCACCAACGAGTGTAGACCAAATGAGTTCCAGGAGGATATCAAGAAAATCATCCACGAAGAATGCAAAAGATCATTACAAAGGCTGAAGAAGAAGAAAAAACCAAGATGGATGCCAGATGAGACTCTGAGTATTTCATTAGAGCTCCGAGAAGCCAAAGCTAAAGGATGAAATCAAGATATCAAAGAGCTGAACAGAAAATTTCAAAGGCAGCTTGAGATGACAAAGCAAGATACTGTAATGAAATGTGCAGAGTTGGATTCAGAAAATCTAAAGGGCCGAACTCTCTCAGCATTTCTTAAGCTGAAGGAGTTGAAAAACAAATTCAAGCTACGGGTGGCAATACTTAAAGATAGTTTAGGTAGAATGTTAAATGATCCAGAAAGTATCAAAAGAAGATGAAAAAAGTACACAGAGTCACTGTGTCAGAAGAAATTGGCTGACACAAAGTAATTTCATGATATAACATATGAGCAAGAGCCTATGGTGATGAAGGAGGAAGTTCAAGTTGCTCTGAAGGAATTGGAAAAAACAAGGCTCCAGGAGTTGACAGCATACCAATCGATTTATTTCAACAAACAGAAGTTACCCTGGATGTGCTAAGTTGTGCCATTTACAATAGCCAACCAAAGATTGAGATGCTTATAAGTGAATCTAACTAGAGATGCAAAAGACCTATACAAAGAAAACTACAGACCATTTCTGCAAGATACAATAAAAGACCTAAAGAAATGGGAAAATTTGCCCTGTTTATGGATAGGAAGGCTCAATATTGTGAAAATGACAATCCTACCAAAAGCAGTCTACATATTCAACGTGATCCCAATACTGATACCAAATTAATTTTTCAAGGAGATTGAAAGGGAAATTGTCAAGTATATTTGGTGAGGCTAGAGATCCCAAATAAGCAAAACACTTCTGATAAGCAAAAATGAAGTGGGAGGCATAGCACTTCCTGACCTCAAAACCTACTTCACCATTGCAAGAACATGGAAACAGCCCAAATGTCCAACCACAAACGAAAGGATTGAGAAATTATGGTACATTCACACAATGAAATGCTGTGTAGCATTCACGAGCAATGATTTTGTAAATTATTACTTAACTTGGGAGAGACTGGAGAGCATTATGCTGAGTGGACTAACTCAGTCCCACAAGGATAAATGTTGTATAAAACCATTATTATAGAATGAGTATAAGGATCCAGGAAGGGTAGGAGAGGGTGGAAACAGAGGGATGTAGATTTTCAGGAGGAAGGGGAATTAATATCAGGTTGTACAAGTTGATGGGTGGGTGGGGTGAGAGAAATGGAAAGAATTTATTCTTGAAAACAATATATTTGAATTTTATCAATAAACTAGTAGAACATTTAAAAAAAGAATAATTAAAAAAATTTAAAAACCACCCTATTACACAGAGGTAGTAACCAAAACAGCATGGTACTCGTACAATGACAGGCACATAGACATGTGGAACAGAATTGAGAACCCAGAAATAGATCCAGCTATCTATGGTCAACTGATACTCAAAAAGGGAATAAAACCTATCAAATGGGGAAATGATGACCTCTTAAAAAATGGTGCTGGAAAAACTGGACTTCCACCTGCAGAAAGCTGAAACAGGAACCACATCTCACACCACACACAAAAATCAACTCAAGGAGCATCAGAGACCTGGCAGTGAAGCTCTAAATGGTTATGTTCATAAGGGAAAAAACTGGGATCAAGCTTGGAAGGCATAGTCTGTGGTGTAAAAATACTGCCAAATACAGTCAGAAATACACAATTTGAAGAAGATAAAACTGATGAATGGTTCCTTTGAAAGATTAAATCCCTGTGCACATCAAAAGATTTTTCCAACAGGGTGAAAAGAAAACCCATAGACTGGGAACAAATATTTGGTAATAACATCTCAGACAAGAGTCTCGTAATAAAAATTTACAGAATACTCCTGGGCCTCCACAAGAAAAAGACTGATAACCCAATTACAAAGTAGAAAAATACATAGAAAGAATTTTCACAGAGGAAGATATTTGAATGTCCAACAGACACATGAAGAAATGTTC